TACCGACTGAAGACCAACCTCTTCAAAAAGCATCTGGACTGACACCATCTCAGATTCAACTTTTACTAAATAAAACACGTTGCTTCGTCTTTCCTATAGACGTAACCGCGACTTTGATAACTGGGGAATTTTTCCTGCCTTAAAATGTGAGACTCTTAACTTCAAGCTGCACCTCAAGCTATTGTATTTGTGCAGTATTTAAAAAAGCAAACCTACTAGAGAAAGTCAAATTATGCAAATGTAAAAAAAAAAAAATAAGCAATAAGATCTTCTCTGGTAGCTCGATGGGAATTTGAACATATGATAAACAAATACAAATATAGATGGAGCAGAGTTTTCTAAGATGGTGTAGAGTCTATGTTTCTTGCTTTGGTACTCCAGAGAAAAATACACCTTGTCATCAGCACTGGCCTGTCATAGAGGGGGAAGTCAGCATGCTGTCATTTTGTATGTTGAGCTTTGGGAGTAGTGTGAAAGTGCCCTCTGTCAGGGATGGAAAATGTCTTCCATGTTTACAACGCTCTCTGTGTGTGTTGCTGACAAACATCCCTCACAGCCCAGGAAAAGTGATACCTGCAGAAAAAGGGTTTCTTGTGAAGAAACACATATCTGAATAATAAATATGGTTAAAGTATAATTATATTTGGGATATATATTTAGGAATGTTTTTTTGTATTTATTTTTTGTGACATTTAACTCGACTTGACTGCCACTTTAGGTGACACCCCACTCCTGATGCACCCCACCTACTGGGTCAAAGTATACACACTAAATATAATATGTGGTGCTCTATGGGAACTGTAGGTGGAGTCAAAGCACAAAGAATCCACACTTACAGCTGATATATGCTTTTTTCTTTCTTTTTTCTTTGCAACAAAAACCCTCGTCTGCACTAAAATTAGAAAATTCGGCAAATAAATGAATAAATAAACCTCTAGAATTGCTATTTCCAATCCCGAGTTGATTTTGGGCCCAAATTAGATTGCATGATAAGACGGAGATGCAGCAACATCCCCGGACAATACACACAGAGAGCAAGGTCAAGCCTTAACAATCTGTGTCCTCTGTTCCGTCTGTGTCTGCATAGAGAGAAGAGACCGCTGAGTGTATTCAGCCATGTAGTAGTGCGCTATTAGCACCATCTCAAACACTTGATAAATCATCAATAAACCATTTGTCACTCATTGTCAAAGAGTAAGTGAGGCTGTGCCGGAAACCCTCATTCTACCAAGTCACTAATCCACAAAGCACAGAGCGAAGGACCGGACCTGTTACATCATCAAGAAGCATTGGTGACGCTTTCCTCCAGAGAATGAAACAGTTAAGAAATGGTAACAATATAAGGATACAGCTGATTTTATTTATTTTTTAATATCATGTCCATGTTCCAGATTGGCTTGCTGTTATTGTGATAATGCTTTGCAGACAGATTCTGCCATAGACATAGGGAGCATGGCTATTTCCCTGAGTGATGTTTTGCTGCCTCATGGCAGTCTAAGTACTCTAAAACAGGCCCATGATGTCACTGTTTACCACCCACATCCTCCCCCCCCCTCCCCTGTTCATAGTCATTTACTCGTCTCCCTTCCATTTGCAGCTGTCAGAATTAAACTGTACATAATGGTTGCCATCACGTCTCTTGCTTCCTGGCTGCTGCTAACCCCAAATCAACATTCCTGCTTCTTGGTGATGTTCATTGCAATTGTTGGGCAAATTGTTTGTTTTGAAAATGCAAAATCAAATAGCCCGACGTGCAAGACCGAGCATCTGATTGGCTTCCAGTGTTCCCCGTGTTGATTTGAATTTAGTGCAAATGAGGACAGACTGGGGAATTTGTTTTGTCTGTATGCGTGTGTGCCTGTAGGTGGTACGCGTGCACTTCAGCCACTCGTGCCGTCGCCGCCTGTGTGTTCTCACGTGCACGTGTGTGCATCTTCAGGTGTCGCAGCACGTGACATTAGCAGCAGTCTACTGACTGTATGTCTGCGAGGGACTGCACAGCGCAGACAGCATCCGAGTTACAATTAAAACAGAGTTTTACCAACGAGCTTCTAATTGCGCGTCTGATTAGGAAAGACACTCTGCACTAAAGCCTGGAGGCTGTGTGTTCAGTCAGGGGAGCGATTATTGACAGCTATTGAATGATCTACAGTTGTTAAGGAGCAGAAAGCAGGATGTCCAAATGAAGCCAACAAGTCAATCAATGCTGTGTTTAAGACAGCAAGAAACCGGCTTCCTGTTTTCTGGAACACATCTCTTGGGAGATATTTGTCTGTATGTGAATACGGTGTGTGTGCTTGTAATCATGCTTTAACGGAGTGTGTTGTATTGGAAGTTGATGTCTGAGCCACAGACTTATCTTTCTTCCTGAATTTTTAAACATTAGTATTTACTCGTACCCCGCAGCATACAGGTGCAGATACGATTTAAATCGGCGCAGCAACCACATGGCAAACAGTCGTTAGTAAAGTGTCCAAGGTTCAGGGTGCTTTCACCAGATAGATAGAAAAGTACATGAAAAGTGAAGAAGAGCGGTAGCATGACAAGTAAACAGGACTAGCTTTAGTGTAAATTGTGGTAGTGCTGACATGTCACTATAACTAGGGTTACTTCACCATGAATGGTGATCGTAACATACCATGTCTAACGACAAACAAAACATTGAGAAATATTCTCCTGGCAGTCAAATATTTAGACAAAGTGTATTGCCTAATTTGCAAACATTTTTTTTGAACCTGTACTAATTCACAAAATGTTTGCTGCAAGGAGATCTCAAAGGAATAATCCCTGAATAGCTGTAACCTACTTTTAGACTATTGTATTTTATGCGTAATCCAACTGGCAAAGTATGAGCGACCATGTCTTTTGAATGATTGATTGATTAAAGGGACTGAGGTGAAGGGCATTTGTATTCATCGGGCAGAGAGGGGACGAGGGTCTACAGTCTACGGACCCCGTGAGGAGGAGATGTCTCCTGTTGCTGCCGGTCAGAGCACCGCGTTGGTCTGCTGCAGCGTCCAGCCTGAAATCTACTCGCAGCTTTTACCCATCAATCCTCCTCTGTTCTCCCTCTTTCCCTTGCTCATGCTTCAGGTAACATCCCATGGACTTGTGGCTATAAACTTAAATTACACGTGTGTGTTTTGTTCTTTTTTTATTGGTAGCTTGAATCAGCAGACATTTGTTTTAGGCCATTAGCTCCGAAGCAAAGACTTAGAGCTGCATTGTTTTACTTTTGGTTAAAGAAGATTGTTTTGTATTTCAGTTGCAGTGAGTGTGGAGGGATTAGTTAGAGAAAGGAAGGTTTACGTTAAAGCCAAAAGGGTTAAAGGTTTATTCTGGAGAAATGTAATGGAAATGGTTATAAGGGGAACATACTAGTAGCGCTTTTGTTTGTTGTTTTCTTATTTATTTGAGATATTTTCTAGTATTTATGCAAAAGTGGTTAAAATATTTTTGCTAACGCTTAATTAAGTTTTACAGAAATAGAATTAGAAACGATATCGATTGGCGATTTGAAAGCATTGTTGTTAAAGTCATGACTTGATTGCCTCACACAGGCTGCGGTTACACAAATGCCTTGAATAGGAGTGCTCTTCTCTGTTTTATTATGTCGGATGATGCCTCTTGTACTTTGTATACCTCCAAGGACGAGCAGTAGGTCAGTGTAGCAACTAGCAAGTGTGTGCAAATGGCATCCGTCACGTGAGGTGAAAGTGCAAGAAGGTTCTAACAAAACTTCCCTGACTTTCCCTGTTGGAAAGCGTCCGTCTCAGCCCTCTTGAATTGATATGTATGCTTTCATCAACAAATGTGACATAGTGCATAGTTCGATAATAATCTGTGTGTCTTGCAGAGAGTAAAATCCTCCCAAACTTTTCAGACCTCTGAAGTTTTTCAAAGACTCCTTGAGAGACTGAAAACACTGGCTTAGATAATCAAACATGGCTGCTGGGCCGACACGGCTTGTGCTTTTTCCCGTGTTCTAAAGTACGTGTGTTCATACCGAGTGTTCCAGTGAGGTATAGTGTGGAGCTGAAAGTTTTTCTCTTAATGGTGTTGGGTGTTTTAAGTTCATGGTTTCATGAAATATGTTTAGAAATGAGACATGGAGCTGCAGTTTAAAATCGTCTTTTTTGGAATTTTGGAAACTGCGATTACTGGCAACTTTCTTGGGACACTGAGTCCATGTGTCAGCACTGTGCAGTGCCTTTAAAGCTTAGTTAAGTTAGTCATATGTTCCAGAAGGAGTGTTATGCAGGAGTTATGTACTGTGAAGGGTTTTAAGTTAGCTGTATGTCCTGACTTAATTCTGGAAATTGATATCGGACACATTGCAGGGTCAAATTGTAATTCGTCTGGAGGGAACAGTTTTTTAAATTTTTTATTCGAATGTCTCGAATATTCGAGACTCGAATGTCTCAGAAGTTTTTTACCTCTGATTTGGTTTATTATGTTTGCGTGCTTAAGATTAAGTTGGTGAAACTAACAATTACTTAATTTATTAAATTATTAAAATTAACGTTAATTCAAGTAATTCGTTGAAACGCACATTGAATGTTAACTAATTATTTAATGTAGACTTTATGCAATACACAGAAAGAAAATAGTCTGATGCATTGCATATGCTGACTTTAATCATATTAATAATCTCAGTGCCTCGGCTTTTTCATGTAGGCTGCACTCAATTTTTTGTGTTACATTAACTGTATATTATTAAGTTTTCCCTACTAGTTCACTAAACTTACAGAAAATGTTGCCTCGCGTGTTTATTTTTTGGAGTCAAATCAAAGTAATAGTTTTAACAGTGGAACCATGTACACAGAGAGGCCCTGGATAGAAATCTCTACTGTATGTGTGTACGATGGTGTCAGTCTAAGCTCAAATCGTTGCCGGATGTGTGTGCATGGGGGCCTCGGGGGACTATGTCTATGGGGAGAAGCAGAGCAGGAGAAGTTGGAGAGAGCAGCAGCCACACAGAACATGGACAGAGCGTTTACCTGGCCCTGTGCTCTGTGGGTACGCCAAGTAGCCGCCTCTTCCACGGGCCCCCCTACCTGAGCCACGCGCTGCTGCTACCGCCGCTGCCGCCACCGGTCCGTATGCTGTCGCTGGGAAGCCTGCAGGCACATACACACACACACATACACACACGCATCACTTCCTGCACATGGATGAGTACGTCCCAGAGCTACAGGAGAATGTTGATACCAGCACTGAGCTACGGGATAAAAACCATAGCTGTCAAAGACTGGGGCTCATGTCAGGGCGACATCTATCAGCCGACTCTCACTGAACCCACTGTGATATTC